TGGGGTGAAAGTGTAGGGGGGAGTGTAGGATGTGAGGTGTGGGGTTAGCCACTGCTTGCTCTTAGCCCCTACTCATGGGACAAACCAAGATCCTGGGAAGCATGCTCATGTCTTCGTGGCCGTCAGCCGCCTCAACCACACGGCAGGGCGAGGGACAACAACATGACTCCGCACACATGTGCGCAGCAGAGTTCATTCGAGCCGAACGAAGGCTGTGCCTGCTTTCTCAGAACGAAGATTTTTACTCGGGCCAGGCCTTTGTTTGCAGTGTTGTGGAGTCAAGTTCCAGCCCTCAACTTCCCACGAGGACCCGGCATTCCGAGTGCTGCACCTCCGCTTTTGCATCCCAAGACAAGTCCACATGGAAAAGGTACAGACATGGCATTGGCGTCAAATGCTTCTTGCATGGCAGCTACCGGGAGTCTGCGTCTTACTGCCTGCAGATTGGATGCCCAGCCCGGCGGGGAGAACAAATCCTGCTGCTGTACCTGACCTGCTGTAACCGCAGAGAATCAACAGACCTCGTCCGCGCACCAAGTAAGGACCACGGTTGCCGCATAGTTCTTGCCATCATTGGCCTGCTAGGACACCAGTATTCTCTGAAGCTGTTTTTCCAACCCGGTGATCCGAGGAGATCCGGACATCATGCCTAGTTGTCAGTACGCGCCCATCTTACAGACTGAGCTACAGAGATACAGCCACAGCATCTATCTTGTAGTTGGTCAAACTCATTACGGGGTGAACCTGATGGCAACGTCAAAGTACAGGGTTCCGGACCCCACGGCATGTTGCAGCCTGCAGCCTGACCTTTGTATACCCGTGCAAGTGTTCCTGGCCATCCTTTTTTGCCTCCTTTGCTGAGAGTCCTGCAGGGCCGAAAAGGCGTTGGCGTCGACCAGGTGAGGCAGCCGTGTTTGACCTTGCGTGGTTTGGACCGCTCGAGGAACCACAGCTTGGATGATTACCTACTGTGCTGCTCTTATTCGGCTCAGTTCTTTGTTCAGGTGCTTAGCTCTGACCTTGGATGAAGCTCTGCGTGCACAAGCAGTTGCCTCTTCAATATCGTCATTGCTCCCTGACCCTATGCCCGACCATCAAAACATCACCTCCGAACAGGTCCCGTTCAAAGCAGCCACGTGCAAACATCTTCCTGTTCTTGATCTTCAAGAGCAAGCAGCCAACCGCAAGTCGGATCAGGTCTGCTCAGAAATGTCTACTCTGGGTTCGGGGGAGTAAGTGCCCAGCTCAACCCACTGCTGTAGTCCTTGTTGCTCAGACTTGTCAGGCACCCGCAAGGCCAACCCTGCAGGCGGCGAGGCTCTGCTTTGCTCAATTGTCAAAGATCTGCATCCTTGCCTTCACCTTGAAGGGCCTCGCCAAGAATATCCTGGCTTTAGCACACAGCTACCGGCCTGAAAGTCTGACAAAGCGCCGCCTCCAGACCAACGCTGGCCTTGTGCACAGGATAGGGGTACGACCTGCGTTTTGCCAGCGGCTTGCAGATACTCATGTTGCATAGCTTGAGCTTTGCCCACGTGGCATTGAACTGGATTCATCTTGCAGGCTCTGAGGGTGCCGCGTGCCCAGCGTAAGCCTTCCAGCAGTAATATTTCGCACGGCGAACGCATGTCGCCAGCGACCTCCCCAACTAGAGCTGTAGCTTGCTGAGACCCTTGCTCCTGCATAGCATCAGCCACCACATCCTGCGCTGGTACCAGGGTAGTTGGTGCACGGTTCATATTCCGCCGTGGTACAGGCCGTGCAGGGGAGGTGTGCGAGGGGTTTTCGTGAGGTGCAGTGGGAATTTCGTTCGTGTTTCAAGGACATACGGTAACCAGTGCATCCATGCCCAAACCATAGTTCGGTTCGTGTTCCGAAAGCATACGGTAAGCAGTGCATCCACGCCCGAACATGCCCGAACCATAATAACTCTCGTGTTCCGAGAGCATGCGGTAACATGTGCATCCATGCCCAAACCATAATTCCGTTCGTGTTCGTGTTCCAGTGAATGCGATTATAGCATAGCATCCATGCCCAAACCATAATTACGTTCGTGTTCCAAGAGCATACGGTAGCGAGTGCATCCATGCCGTAACCATAATAACGTTCCCGTCCTAGTGAGTGCGACTATGAGAGCATCCCTGCCCAAACCATAATTCCGTTTGTGTTCTAATGAGTGCGATTAGTAGAGCATCCATGCCCAAACCATAATTCCGTTCGTGTTCCAAGAGCATACGGTAAACAGTGCATCCACGCCCGAACCACAATAGCTCTCGTGTTCCGAGAGCATGAGTTAACATGTGCATCCATGCTCAAAACATAATTCGGCTCATTTCCAAGGAATTCTTGCGGCCTCGAAGGACGGCTCAGACAGCCTGCGAGCACAGCAAAATACGCCGTCCTAACGACGACGATGTTCGCATGTCAATTTCCATGCGACCCTTTGAAAATTAAAGTAGTTCGCAACCTCAAAAAAAAACAGAGTTCGTACTGCATTTTACAATAAGAAATCGTTTTCTGCTGGGAAAATGCTCTAAAATCGTGCGTTCTCCTTAGGTATGCTGAAAATACCGGTAATTTCCACGCGGTCAGCCTCCTGTCTGCATTTCTCTTGGACCTCGAGTGGCTTTCGAACCACGGACGAAAACGAACCATGGACCTAGTTTCGTTTACGAAACAAGTAGAGCTCCAGGGGGTGTTCGACATCTTGATAGCTAGTGCTGAACATGGCGGAAGCAACAGCCCGTAGATGTGCATTCTTTTGCCCTTGGCAAGCGCTCCTCTGGGTCGCTCTCCGTGTCCAGGGCATCCCAGGAATTTTCAGGCAGAATGTCACCTGAAAGGCGGCCAACAACAGTTCTGCTCGGTGCAAGCTCTTATCCTTGTCGCGCGCTCACCAAGCGCTGGGCCATGAAAACTTACGGCCATCAGATAGAGATGTTTGCCACTCATGCCTGAGAGAAGGGCTTCAGGACTGCATGCTTGCAACCTTGCTCCATCTTGATTGCTTGGCGCGGCACCAGGGAACGAGGAACAGCCTGGATTCAAAGCTGCCCTTTTTGTTTCTAAGTCTCGGAGTGTTTCATATTGAATCGTGAGTGGGCCGGATTCTGAGGACAGATGACAAAGCTTCTGACGATCAGGAAGCCAGGGTTGCTAGGGTAGAGTCCGGACATCTCATGAGATCTCGGCAACTGCTTGAAGCCCAAGCTCCTCACAAAGCTTTGCCGGCCCTTGCCGCCCAAAAACGTGGGCCAGCCTCGCAGTCACGGTGATGGCCTGAAACGTGCAGCGAGAGATCGAAATTCCTTGTCTGAAATTCGTGTTTCAACACTCTGCGGGATCCTGCAAGATCCGAATAAGCCAAACCAACCCTTCACGCCAAGGCTTTCGTTAGGTTTGGTTGGATGCACAAGACTCACCCGGTGCGGACTCATCCAAGGAGGGATGCAAGGATGGGCTGCAAGCAACGCTTTTTGTCAGTTGCGCGGGCTTCGGCTCCTTGACTCTGGCCTGGTTCTTCCGCTCGGAGGTGTCTCTTTGCGCGAGTGTGGCAGATCTCTCAAAACCTCTCCGCAGTTCACTACGCGAACCTCCTTGCACGTAGATCCACGTGCAGATATGATGTGCTGAAGGAAGTCAATCCCCGCAGTAAGGCGCGCCACAGCTGCGTGGTCTCTGTCCAATCGGGGAGCAGGGGCGAGTGTCAAAATGTAGCCTGAAAAATCTGCATGCCGTGAAACCGAAATCATGCCTGACTCTGCGTGTGGTAATCCTTTGCCCGTCTCTCCTTCTGGCTCACCTCAGGGCACACATCTAGGCAGGTACCAAAAGATGTTGTTCCTGCTTCCCAAGCTGAAACTTGCCATCTTGCACAACCTCCCAGCCCACCCAGCTCAGCTCCATCAAGCAAGGCAGAAGTCGTCGTAATCTGCCTCGCGGTAATGCAACGCAACGCTGCAAGGCCTTTGCCTATATCTGGTGACCGCACAGAAACTGTACCCGGATAAAGGTAATTGCACTTCTCTCAAAACTTGCTTCCCCCTTTTGAAAGAATTACTCTTCGGAGCTGAGCTACGTCAAGCGACGGTCACTGAGTCTCCCAGCTGCACAATCCTCGGCGCGATGATTGCGGAAACACCGGCTGGCAGAGGAGTTGTTCCCTTAGGTATTCCAAGACTCTTTCAACTTGCTATTGCTATCAGAACGACTGCTGCCAGTTGAATGCCTCTTGGGAAAACAGTACCGCAACAAATCCATTCAACACAGCACATGCCTGGCTTCGGCTTACAGCTACTGTGGCATGACCATGACAGATCTGTGAATCTAAGATTGGCCTTTCATCATAGCCCTGCTCGAGGAGCGCAGTAAATCGAAAAGCAACACTCAATTGCTCAATAGTTGGCGAGGAATCAGACCGAACCAGCCAATTCGACGCCGAGTTCGTATGAGGAAGCTAATCCACAGATCTTTCGGACTCTGGCTTCGGAGTACTGTTTTTAAAGGCGAGCTGCCATGCGAAGACTTGATGGCTGCCAGACTCTTCGTCTAAGCCCTTGTAGGATGCACGCCCTCGTCCTCTCAAACTTGTACCATACTCACTATCACGCCGGACGCGGGCACATGATGTCCATGTCCCCATCCGACAAATCCAGAACATCAGGATCCGAAACTTACAGCCTCTTCAAATGACGTGCCATGTGGCTTCCAGCAGCCTTCGAGCTGCTTTCGGTGCAGCCTGCCAATTGTGATGGGTCATGTCTTTGAGGATTTCTTGCGATGGTGCAAGTTACAAGGCTTTGATTGGCCATGAGTCGTCCATGCGAACAACGATGCGGTATGCCTCCGGCCAAAGCTCGAATTCAAGTGATTGCTGATGGTCGACGCCAAAGAACGCACCACGGAAGATGGCAATCCTTGCTTTGAAGGCTGAGCTGCGTGGCTTCAAGGTACAGAAGGTACAGAACTGCAGGATTGCGCAAGCGCAAGCAGCATCGATACAAAGACACGGATTGCGGCATAAGCTGCTCTAGGAAAATTTTTGGATGCCCCGAGCTTGCATTCTGGATTGGAAGCTTCGGGATGTGCTCGACGCCATCTCGACCCCTGCCGAAGCTACGCGGAGCTGGCAATCTTGAACACATGGCGGCGAATGTACCCAGTCACCAACCCTGAATGGCTCGACCGTGTTTGCGTCAAAATGTTTACAATGATCTCTATATGCACTTTTGCAGGGGCAAATCTTGCTTTCTCATAATGCGGGGGGACTCGAGGTGGCCTTCCAGTGTGATTCTCCTCGCTGGTGTGGCTGGGCTTGCTGCATGCCTTCGACTTGATCTGGCCCTTGCGCCCGAAGACAACGGCCATAGCTGCTCACAACTTGAGGATACGGTCAAGGTAGTTTCAGCCTTAAACCTTAAATCCTTGAACCAGTGCACTGTGCATTGGTCTTGCACGCTTTTCTTTCAAATGTCTGACCTTGCCTGGTGAGCAGATGTGACTCGGTCTTGTCCTTGTTGAGTTGACGATTCTCATAGCTCCATCTTTGCTGCTCCCGAGAGATCTCGCCTTTTTCTAGATACGTCCAAGGTGATTTAGGGCGGTTAATTGCCATGCAACTTTATTCTGGATCCTATACTATGTCCACCATAAACCTGGTGGCCAACGTCAATGCACATCCAGTGCCCTGACTGCAGCTCTTGCTTGTGATCATGAGAGTGCTGGTCGTGGTGCTGGTGGTGGCGTTTGTCCCGTTTATGGGGCACCTGCCTGCTGGTCGCGTACACGGTAAAGCGCCTGCGGCATCAGCAACAGCAAGATGCCTAGACTCTGGTTTCAGAGCTAAACAACCAGGGATGCGCGAGAAACCCCATTCGTGTTATATCTCAAGCAAGAGTCATTCCTTCACACTCAGCCTTCCGCAATTCAATTCGATCAGTGCCAGAGAGAAGCAATTCACCGAAGCATGTGCCTGCAAAGCGTGGTTGCACAAGTGGAAGTGAAGCCAAGTCTGCGGGGCAGCCATGCCAGCTGCCGTGTCATCATTCATCTACAAAGCGAGAACTTAGCCGATAATACTTGTGCCTCAGGCAGAGCAGTGTGGCACATCACATAACGTGAGCGTGTCTCTTGCAATCCTGCTTTTGGCGCTGGCTCCCATGGCACTGTACATTCAAGGAAACTCTTGCTTAGTCGTCGCAGAACTCAGTTCTGCGAACGAAGAAGCCGCCGGAAGTTAACAATTTAATGGTTGTCTTTTTTTTTTCTGAGGCAGGGGTTAGCCGAATCTGCATTTGCGGCGTGGCTCCCTGTGCCGGCTCATGCTGACCGTTGCTGGACTAAGCATTCATGTGGACGAAATATTTCAAATTCCTGAACGGCGTTGCATGTTGAGAACCCACCGGGAACCTTTGGGAACCCGTTGAAACTAACAAGCAAGGAAGCACTTGCCAGGCTGTCAGGCAGCAGACTCAGCCTTCTCATCCTCCAGGAAGAGCTGGGGTGAGTCAGCCATCACACGCACTTGGCTTGACTCATTCATGAGGCAGGAAGCATGCTGCTGATGGACCGTAGAAGCCATGATCAAGCCTCGGCTGAAAGAACGCAAGGCCCAAGAGGAGCTCAATCCTTTCCTTTCATCACAGACCTATAGCTTTGAAATGCTTTGTGGGTGAGTCCGAGAGAGTCACTTGACCGCTCGACCTTTGCAATTGGGTTGATGTTGTCCTGAACGACTGTTTCGGTGACCGTCTTGTCGAAGCAGTGCGTCGCTGCCACGATGATGTGCAACTCAGCATGGCCTGAATGATTCTAAAGCCCAAGGTGACCGCAAACCCAGACTTGCGTCGCAGCCCACGCTTTGAGCTTTTGAGTTCTATACGGGGTTCGTTGGTGACCGTCAACTTTATTTTGTACCGACACTTCCTACCAGGTCTGATGTAATTTCAGTAGGTGCCTAAATCTTCCGGTTGGTTTCCAATTGCAGACCGGGCGGCTCAGTGGTAAAGCACCTGGTCATATCTCCAGCTTCAAACCAAAAGGCAAGTACTTCTGCATGTTTGATCACCGTTATCATTGCGTGCGATGAAGGCTTGACAAGAAGTCGGACCAAAGCCCCGCAGCAAGGGCACCTGACTTAGTGATGGCGTCAAGCAGGTCAAAGGCGGCATCCCTTTCTCCTTATCCGGACTTTTCTGTGTTCGCACGAGAGATATGAGTTGGTAATTTCGGAATCTATGCTGATTTGTCTGGTGCTTTTTGTTGTAACTGTAACTACTCTGGCTCTAACTGCCGCTCATGGGGAGCAATTGGCCACAGTTGAAGCCTAGACCCCTTCCAAACAGAACTTTGCAGCACTAGCAGCGCTTCTGCTCATCCGAGGTGAGGGATTTGGTATGTGCAGAAGCCAGCCTGAGCAGACACTGCCCCTTCTGGGGTCATGTTTGCCGCACAAGTCAGCTGATAGACTTCCTTAGATAAGGGATTGAGATAGTTTGAGACAGAAATCAGCTGGTGGCCAAACCTTTTTCTTGGCCCATACAAAAGTCCTTTGGGCCCCCCATTCCGTGGTTTCGTCTGTTCTGGCCCTAGGTGAGTCAACAATCCGCTAGTTGCATACATATCTTGGTTCTTGCTTGGAGCACCATCATGCCGACGAGCGGTGCGCTTGATTCAGCCAAGTCCGGCGCAAGCAACAGAGTGAGTGCTGTTTGGACATTCCCATAGCAGTTTTCTTGCATGCTGGGATGGCGGCTCTTGACTCATTGGATCAGCCTACCCTCACCGTGTTCGCAGAGGAGCAGGGCAGCTTGTGATCGCTTCGTCCACGTGCTCCCTGGATTGATGATGGTGGGCCGCAGAGAGCTGTCCTCAAGCTGAAGCATCACACCAAACAACAGCATCCAGCAACCCCATCTAAGCATGGCTTGTCTGCCTGTGCTTCAGGCATGCCAAAGCTTGGCCTCTCAGTCAAGCTTCGGGGTCCAGCTTCTCAAACTGTTCATCTAACTCCTTGGGGACCTGGGTGTAGTCGCGAACCTCCAACGTGGTCAAAGCTTCTGGCTGCCCTGGCCTTGTTGGCTGGGCATTTTCCCTCGGCTGCGTGGCCTGGGATGGCTCTTGCTCTGCTTGTTTTGAGCTTTGTGGCTCTCGCGCCTCCGTGGCGGCCTCAGTAGGTTTAGGCCGCGTAGGCTCAGCACCACCCAGACTCAGACGACGCCTAGGTGTTGCCTTGTCAAGTTTAGGCTGAGAGCTCCGTTTCATCTCAGGCTCAGCTTCAGAGATTCTGCACCTTTCTCGCGAAGATGATCCTCCTGTGAAAGCTCCTGTCAAAGCCTTTGTCATGCCACCGAAGAATCCCGAGCCACTGCTCTTCTTAGCCTGTTTGTAGAAGGTGTTGCTTGCGCTCGCCGACAGGTTGCAACTTCGCTCCATCATGTCGTTGAGGCTTTGGTTGGAGATTTGGCGCACCTCCTGCAAGATTTGGACAGAGGGATTTGATTGTAGACCTCTTTGAGCTGCGGAGGAAAAGCATGAGTTGCCTCCATTTTCCTTTGCAGTTCCAACATCTGCAGCTGCCTTTCCTCGGCTGCGTGCTGGAAGTTCATATTCACAGACAAATAGCAGTACGTGTGCTCTTTTCTCTCCCAAACTCCGAGCCTCCTCTTCCCGGCGCTGGCGCTCTGCCTCCAGTCGCCGATGCTCCTCCTGCATTGAGCAATCTGGTGCTTGTGATGTAAGCTTGCTTTCTTTTGTCTCTTCAATATGTTCTCGTCAGTGTGTTGCCACCCTCGCTCCGATGAGCATTGGTACTCTGCGGGAAAAAAGAGCAAGCGCATCTTAACTTGAGCAGCCGTGTTGGAGTGGCTCCGCAATCCCTCGCGCATCCTCCTTCCTTCGTTGTTCCAACTCTTCACGTTTCCTCACATACAGGACTGCAAATTAACAATGACAACTGCACTGTGACCACAACCCACTGAGGTTTTGAGTTTGGTGCCTAGCCAATAACTCGACATGATGTCTTCTTCCTGGCCAGGCCGCTCTGCTTCAATCATGTCCTGCATGGCCTGGACCTGAAAAAATCAGCTTTTGTTCATGCCCCATGTGCAGTTTTGAGCAGCGTTGTCACAAGCGGGTTTCAAGCGCCAAGGTTGAAGGCCCTGCCTGGCGCTTGACCACCCTCAGGCGATCCGCGGCTGAGGCATTGCCACTTGGAAGGAGGTCGGTGGTAAAGGAGAGGAGATCGCTTGGGATCTGATATTTGATGAAGAGCCTCAGAAAAAAGTTGCATGACCGTGGCGAGGTTTAATTCGTCAGAAATTTCAATTCTACAGTTCTCAAATGCTGTCCCAACAGCGTGCTCCTTCTCAACCCGTTAGGCTCAAGGCAATGCATGATTGCCTCTGACCTTCAGACCTCTTCAATCCCCCTGCCGATGCACATGTAATGGAATTTGATGCCATAATATTCGACACTGAATTCCTGGCCGGTTGCTGCATCAAGTCTTGGGTCAGCTTGATCTCCTCGGCAGGATTTGGGAAAGCGAGATATGCACTTCCAAAAGGTCCATGAGGGCAGCGCAAACTACGCGCGACCATGGAATTTACATTGACTTGCAGGTGGTCCTTCGTCAGGCTGTCTTCAGAAAGGTTCAGAAGTTTCTCGAGCTGTGGCTTGATCTGCACGACTAGGACAGCAAAGAGCCTGACGATCAGGAAGCAGTTTGCCAAGTCAAGCTGATCACGCGACATGATCTTGACTCTTTGTATCACTGAAGGTTCTGAATCATGCAACGTGCTCTCCAGCTGCATCGCGCGAAAGGCTTTGGCGAATTCCTGCTGCTGAGGGGACAAGGACTCTATCGCATCCTTGAACTCCTTAGGCGTAGGAATGGTGGAAAGCTCCAGAGGGATCTCCAGCTCATCCTTGTTCTGCACCAGTGCCGCATACTTCGGATCAAAGGAAGTGGGGGATGATACCCGGCCGATCAGTACCATGAATGAACTGAATTGCCGTGCCCTGGACACCAAAGACAGTTTCGAGGCAGACTCACCGGAGAATTGATGGTCCAGCCAGGCATGCAGATGAACCTCTCCTCCGAACGAGATCGTGGTTGAGGGGTTGAGAGGGAAAGTCATTGTTGATGGAGTGCGGCCAACAGCTGTTATAGCGCAAATCGGAGTCTTGATGCTGGCCTCATCCTGCAACCCCAAGGCCTCCACAGCAGAAACATGACAGCCAACAACTCTGATTGCAAGGCTATGACTCCATGACTGATGACCTGGCGCCTTGCTCCCGCCTCCTCTTCAATGCTGATTGTGCCCTCAGGCCCGTGCTTGTCGGAACGCCGGATTGCGAAACTGCAGGGGAATGTCTGCAAAACTTGGACGCTCATGTAGACTCATTTAGTTTCTTTTGTCTGTGGAGTGCAGCAAGGTGCTTGCAGTGGCCTGCAGGGACAAGGTTGGTATGCTTCTCGGAACAACTTGCGGTAGTGGAAGCGCATGTATGAAGCCTTGGCAGAGTGCCCAAATGCTGTAGAAATCTCTGAGAGCTGTCTGCTGGTCTTTTTCCCTAAGCCACCAACGAACTCTGCGGGCTTGACCTCCTTGCCGATAGCTGCCACAAGCTGAGCACGTAGCATGTGTTCCACGTAGTCTATCATCTCCAACCACTGCACCAGAACGTGTTCGCAATGTTGCACGATGAGCGCCCTGAAAGACTCCGACCATGTGTAGATGCTACCATCGTCTGGGAAAATCTCTATGAGGTTGTCACGCTGTTCGCGCAAAGCTCTGAACTCCTCGCCCAGGAGACGATTTCCGTCCGAGGCGCTCAAAACAAGCTTTGCCTCTTCACCCTCCTCGCCCAGTAAGACCAAAGCATCGCTGCTTGTTGAAGGTTTGTTTGATCCACCCTTGGTGAAAAGAGGAAGCGCTGGAATGAAAAGGTCAAAAGATCCGGGTGGAGTGCTTGACCTGCGGGGGTGGATCTTGCGGAGCCGGTTCAAGTATTGGCTGATGGTACGGGTCCAAGGAAGCAATCTGCTGCAGAAGTTTATGGCTTCCTCCACCTGTGCGTTGCGCCGCGGGGTTCGGCACTTTGGGCACAGGCGGTCGACCTTGAAAACAGGAATCGGGGGGGAGCCTGTCAGCTGCTTGACGAGAAAGGTTATGTTCACGTCTGCGTTGGCTGATACCTCAGATCCTTCCCGAATAAGGCCAAAGCCAACCTGGAACCTCAGCCCTCAGATCCAATTGCAGTCAAAACGCCTTGGATTGCGGGTGCGGTGGGCTTTTGGTGCTGGTCTTGAGCTCTACATGCCCTGTCCCACTGCAAAGAGTCAATCGATCTGAATCTTCTGCACCGACTCCACGGATAGCCTCCAACTCATAAGCCGCCTCAAACTTCCAGAAAAATTCAGTCCTGGCTGAGGCTTCGTCTCTGGGATATGGCACTTGAGTCACTTGCAGTGCAGTGTGTGCTTAGTCACCGAGGGCTGGGCACTTTTGTGATGGTCTTGCTGGAGAATGAACCTTGCATTGCGGAACTGCGCAAATTTACCTTCAACGCCCTCTGTAACTGGTAGGTCATCAGCAGTCCCTCACAAATCTTGCACTGCTATGAACAGCCAAAAATTGTTTGGTGGCCAGCAACCGAAGGCCACACCACCCACCTGCACCTCAGTCACGCGTTTCGTTGGCGAGTCCTCGTCGCGTGTCTCTTCTCGAAGGAACTCGCAGGTCTCCTGTTGGAGGCTAGCTGCAGCTGACAGACTGTTCATGCTTACGAACCCCGACTCGGGGATACTCATGAGCGTCTCCCCCCCGGCTGACCGCGAATGTAGACTTGAGTCAGTGTTCTGGCCAGCAGGCTGCCGCGTTCTTCTTGTTTGCAGTTCACGGTTTCTGACCCAGCTCCTTGGCCTTGAAGCGTAGGGACACTGCACTGCTTTCTGCCCACTTCTGCAGCTGAGCCAGATGTTTATTGCCTTGGTCACAAGATTTGAGAAATCTCAAAACGCTTCAAGTGTAGGAAGGCAAATTATCACCCTGCCTGGCCCTAAGCCTGAACCGGGACCCTGAGGACTTATTTCCGTCCAAGAAGAAATGCTAGGGCTCCACTGAAGGCGACCTGCATCAGGGCGAGATATGCCAAGATGCTGAGGCCCAAGGCACCCAAACCATTTGTCAATGATGCCAAGGCGAGGCAGGTTCCTCGCTCCACCAGGCTGAACTTGTCCTCGGACTGCCCCCTTCCAGCCCCTTCTTTTCTGAGCCTACCCACAAACACCCTCTCCTCGTAGCTGTGATGCACCTGCGCTGGGATCTGCGGTGTCTTCCTGATAGTGCAGCACAGGTAGCTCAGTGATAGAAAGCGGTCCTAGTTGTCAAAGTTCTGAGCTAGGATTCGACCAATTCAACATAATTCAACCAGGCAACTCAGCCTCCAGGACCAACTTCACCTTTTCGATTGCCTGTGGAAAGACCATCTGGGAACACGTTCGGAACTTGAAGCCAGGGGACTGCGGCTTGCTCAAGTAAACTCAGAGTTTACCAGGCCAAGTCTTTTGCGAATTGAGCCGATATTCTCTTTTTGGGTCCTCTGCCTTCTTCAGCTTCAGCTCGAATTGTTTCATCGCTGCCTCTGAGCTCATCTTCTGCAGGAGAGCTTTACTAAAACAGCCACGCCTGCGTGCTACCTTGCCTTAATTTTCTTGAGCCAAATCGCAGTGCCGGTCGTGCAGGCAACACCAGCGAACGACACTTTGGCCTGAGGGTCTGGATCTTGTGACTACTCGGCATAAGCTCAAGTAACTCCAGAAGAAACACAAGCTGCCAACTGCCAACACGCATGCTTTCAACGGCAAGTACCGCCCTTCCTTGAAGACGCTGGTCACGACACCTTGCTTGAGAGATGCGGTTGTGAGTTGTGATGCTCACTTATGGACCCATGAGTCCTTTCTTCTGATTTCTTATATTCTTGTTTAACGTGGGTCCAACGCTAGAGCTGGTCTTCAAGAGCATGATGCCACTTCATAACGCGCATCTTATGTTCTGGGAGAATGAGGGGCACCCCTCCTTCCCAGAAATTCTGACCCAGCCATTTCATCTGAGGAGGAAGGGCAGGACAGGAATAACCAGTAAGAGCATCATCCGGAAACAGCACCCTGCAGGTCGTCTGAGGGTTACATGTAGACGCTGGCCGGTTTCTCCTGCCCTGTAGAAAACATGCCGGACGTTTTTGAACGCTCTTCTTGGCCTTTTGCATCTGCTGGCCTGTGCTTTCCCAAGATTGTGGTCAGTTCTGATGAGCAGGCCACCGTGTCCAGCCCAAGCAGGACGCCTGTACTCTATACTGGACGATGTCGTTTGTAATGGGCAGCGATTTGCAAACCCTGTTGGCAAAGATGCTGGGTTCGAGCACTTAGGTCCGAAGCTACAGAAAATCTTGTTGTGTGCAACAGTCTCTTAACAATGATGTTGTTGAGAGAAGGCTGTTGCTTGAAACACGCACCAGCAGTCACTTTTGGTTAAGGCGCGCGCTGAACAACCTCCAGATCTGGCGAAAGCCTCGCCAATGCTGTCAGACATCAGCTGATATGACCAAGGCGTCATCAATTTGTGCCCTCAGCCCCCCACACGAGGTAGCCGTCGCACAAAGCAGCCAGTACCTCAGCCCGGCTTGGCCAATGGAGTTAGACACCTGCTTCTGCCACACCGTTGTAAACAGGAGAACCGTGGCTTTCGTCAGCTGCTCAACATTTCCAAGTTCCAGGCTGTCTCGCAGGCTTCAGTGTGGCTCTCGGCGAACTGTGCCTCGGGAGTAGAACCCTGCAACCCGAGCTATATCTTCAGCATGTATATCTATCTATATATATATGCACACACACAGCTGTCGATCTACCTCTTTATCTCGAGATACATACATACATACATACATGCATGCATGCATGCATGCATGCATGCACACTTATAGCATGAACCCCATCGAACCGCGACAAGGACAGCAAAGCCGCTCATCGTCGAAACAGAGCCCTGCCAAAAAGCTCAAACAAAAGTGCATCAAGTTAGCCTCCCAGAAAGTTGATCCACCCCACAGAAGAAAGAGTGAGGGGCCCATAGTCTATGGTCTATGGATTGCGCCAGCAGGTCTTAACAGGCTTAGTGTGGGTACGGGATTAAGAAGCATGGAACCGACAGCCATGATGATTGGGTCCTTATATACCTATGCCTATGCGTACACCTTCTAAAGCCCTACAAGCTCAGTTGCGAGCCCATGGTTAGGGCCCAGGACGAGGGGCTCGTACTAGGGGCCCCTGGTTAAGGTTAGATCTTCGGGGCGCAGCCTCACGCAGAACTGTCACTTTTCGGGAAGCCTTGACTCCCAACGCGACCGAGCCGCCTGCGCTGTGTCAGCCGAGTGAAACACTAAGGTGCAGGATTTCAGGATGCGATTACTTGTTTCGATCGTTGCCGAGCAGCAATGCTCTTAAGCTTGCTGATCAGGAATTCGGATGAGGCATCCAGTACCCTGGCCAACCAAGGCAGAGCTACAAACCGGCCAGATCAGCTTCCTCTGCAAGGTGGTCAGCTTCAATGCCAAGAAAATATGAAAATGATTCAGGTCTGGAATCCCGCGTACTTATCAGCAATCGATGCAGAACTTTGGTAATTCCCTTTTTAATATCGAACTTGAACTAACAGCCGGCAAATCTTTGTCATACCTCTTGATTTAGCCTTCAAGGCATGACAACAAAGATCGCGACGAATCCTAGAAGGGAAGCCAGACATGTGCGCTGTGGAGGCCATGCAAAGCCAACACAATGCTACGTTCCCGTCAGGGCCCACTTTCCGATTCCAGACCCAACATTAAACAGTTGTAAATCGAAGCTTGCATGCGGTGAGGCATATCAGAGTCCGGACAGGGCGCGGGAGTCAGACCAAAGACCCTCAGTGAGATCCCAGTCTGTCCACTTCCTTGCATCAGGCGTGCATGGATTCTTGAGGCTAATGATATCCAGCCTTCATGTCTCAAATTTCGTCAGATCAGTGCCAACTGTTCGCTACGTGAGAGCATCATTACAGGATTGAAGGTGCCTAGGCACGTTTAGCAAGACAGTGTCTAGACAGCAACCATGCGATGCAGGTAAGGCTCACCTCCTCTGGCTTTGGGAAACCTCTCCCTTGTCTTGTCATGGTGGGTACAGCCAGCGATTTACCCTCCACAGCCCAGATGATGATGGACAATCGGACTCCATCCTTCTCATCGGAGGGAGGGATGGAATGTGTGAAGAGGTCATTGAAGAAGGTGTCAAAGGCAAACACATCACCTCAACACCACTCACGCACTTGGCAATTTGTCGAGGGTGTCAGGCAAGCTCCTAACTCCTAACCGGGTCCTAACAAGGAGGGTGTGGCCAAAGGTGAATGCTTCTGCTGCTTGGGACTCTAGTGTTTGCATGCGACAACTGCCCCATGTTTGAGCTACCTCAGCTCTTTTTCAAGCAAGCCACCGTTTTGCTGTTTGATCCTGAAAGTCTCGCCAGTAAACCTGCCAATGACATCAAAATTCCAGGGTCCCAACATGCTGATAGATGGTCTCCTGAAATGCAGGTTCTTGAAACTTGCTTGAAACTGCGTTCGGCCTGTCTTTGAAGCTGATCCTTGCATGGAGGCAAACTTTTCAAGCACATCAGCAGCACACGGGTTCCGATGCTGTCCTACTATTGCTGCTGCTCATCTCTCTGGCAGACTAGGTTGCGTCAGCGTCAGCTGCTGCGCATTGCCGGGCAGCCCAGCGCTCTGGAGCCCGGCCAAAGCACCACTCAAACCCAGCAGTGAACTACACGAGGATGACGATCAGTGCACAATTACAAACCACAGATGTTGTACACCAATTCGTCAGAAACTTCCTCCAACAGGATAGCATGAACAGCATCACGACACCCCCCATTCTTCGGAGTCCATCACCTGCTGCTCCTGCTTCCCCTAATTACGGCTCCCGCGACACTGTCATTTCGACTGTCACGGCAACGACAACGGCAATGACCGCTACCACTACCCACGTGCTACTGCGCTCATTGCCGCTGCTACTACTGCTGCAAGTGCTGTTACGGCTGCTGCTTCCGGTACTATCGGTACTACGACTGGGACGACGATTGGGACGATAACTGTTTCTCATTACTCCTCATTCCTCCTGCAACGCCCACGACTGCTTCTACGACGACTCAGTCGCAAAGCATTGAGGGCACGGTGCGAGGTGCTGTGCAAAAGTCAGTGCCAGTCGTGTCACCCCACAACAACTATTGCTGGAGGGCTTCCGGGTTTTCTTTATTGGCGCTGTCTGCGAGAAGGTTCGGGGCTGCTCAGCAAAGTCGATGCTCTCGCATAATATGGATTTCATTGCATTTCAGCATGGGTGCTCTTGTGCATGGGTGATATTATGGTTGTGGGAGGGAGGCTCTCCGATATGGGCAGTACAATGGCCCACGCATGAATGGATTTCAGCATGGTTGCTCGGCAACATGGAAGTCCTTGTGGTTTGGGCATGGAGGCATTTCAGCCTGGATGCGCTTGGAGAAAGAACGTTGTGTGGTCAGTAAACGCTCGCATTTCCACGTGGATGCTCTGGATGTGGGTACGCGCAAGTGAGAAGATACGCTGAGACCCACTGCGTTGGGGCAGAATCAGCCTCGGCGGAAGCAAGTCACACTCTACAGTCCGGCTCTCTGCCGTGTTCCAGTGCGGATGCCTTCCAGGCTAAAGTTATGCTCATAGGGGCGGCCGACGATGCTGCCGACCCCGCATCATTGGATCTCCGTTCCTCCAGCCGGCCGTTCTGGTCACCACCATGATTGCGGCCTCATACGTCCAAGCCCCCCCACCGCGTACAGTAGATGCATGTCTGATGGGTTTCTACGGGCCATCAAAAACGCATCATCAGCACGTGGTTTTCTGGAAGCTGGCCAAGAAACCTGCGCTAAGCCAAAGGCAAAAATCAAAGAGACAGGGTTCAGGAAGGCCCAAAACGGAGAAATGGATCCCCAATTTTGCTGACGACGTTGGTGAGCATCATTGCTCACCCTCCAGGCGTCCATGCTGCCAAATACGCCGCGGGAGGTTTCACAGCCTGTATGAGCTTTTCTCAAGGTTGTAAGGCGCACTTGCGGGTTGTATAAGAGTTTGTGATGGTTTGTGACAAGTTTGAGACGTGCCCTGCTCGAGTCAAACATGTTTCTAGGTGTTTCTCTGAGGTCCTCAGCCCCCATGATTCTGATGATGCTGGGTTTTCGGTGTCAGAAAATTATCTGACCCCTCGCCAATTCAAGGTGTGGTGGTGAAGGCTTGGCTTGATCTACTACTCCTGCAGCATTTCTGTGCAGAGCGCCAGCCGGTGCTTGCAAAAACAGAAGAACATGGCACGGTGATGCACCATGTCAAAAACGCACGAAACCGCCTCCTCCACTACAACTACACTATTACCACTACCATTACCAGTATTGCTGCTGCTACTCATACCAGCCCTACTTCAATTGCTTCTATTGCTGCTGCCATTGGCACAAGTTCACGTACCATTCCTACCACTTTTCGACGTCGTTTCTGTTTTCACCAGTGCTACATTCCCATTGCACTGCCGCTGCAAAACCCTCACGACCTCTACTAGTGAGTTGCTCCTTGCGCTGCAGTTTTCCTAACCATGCCCGTATGGAGTCAACAAATAACATGGCAACCCGCCCTGCGTGCCGTTTGCGTCAGGTGTCGGCCGCGTGGCTCCCAGGCTAAGGCCAATGGTGGCAGTCGGACGTGGGCTTCGGTCCTGCAACAGTAGAAATTATCAATCGGCTAGGTCTCTTAGACCGACATACGCCACCTCACGTGCGAGTACTAGTAGCACCGAGTTTCTGGGAAGCTTCAGTGCAATTCATGGCAAAACCTTTTGTTACTTCTTTCGGGTGCACGATTTCTAGACGCGTTTGCAACTTTACGCCTTTACCCATCTCTGATGAAGTATCAATCAAACACTTGGGATGCCGCCATGTGTTCAGTTGATTCCAAAACCCAGTGTGTGAAAACCTTTCCAGAATCATTGGAAAACGTCACGCATGTTGAAGCCATTGCACCCACACAACAGTTGTAAAGACCCGTTCACTTCTACAGCTCCAAGGTACTCTAAAGCACCTCGTGTTTGTTTGGCTGTGACATGACCAACCAAACAGCGATAACAGTAAACCACACTGAGCCCGAATAATGACAAAAGTCGAGGTCACAGTGCATGAAGTGAAGTGTTCTGAGAGCAGGATCCTGGCTACCTGGGCCTCATACATTCAGGCCAAAGCCCTAAGGTTTGCACATCATACGGTGGTTTTACTGCTAAACACTGTGGCTCAAAGAATCACGATCAGAAACGTTTTGATGTGCTGCAATGTCTTTTAGAAATGCAACCAGGTCGTCCTTGTAGTTGTCTTGATGCGGCGACTTCTCTTGAGCGCCATTCCTTACAAAGCGTAAGATCCTGCTTGCCCAGCTTACTGACGCTTCAGAACTGGTCATGCAAGCAGCCGGTACACATTCACCCAGCAGTCCACCATAGACAGGCCAAACAGTGAGACCAAACGTGCAACCACCGCGGTGAATGTCTTGGAGAAGGCCAGGTGCTCACCCCACATCCTTGGCACTTCGCCGACTTAGCCCTTCAGAATGATATGGCAAACTCGATCAAATCTGCGTGCCGTTTAGTCGCTGCATGTGCCGCTTGCTTCGGTGCAGTTTCAAGTGGCTACCTGCCTTCCTCAGCGGCAGGAAGCACAGCAGGGAGGGCCAGAAACCCACCATCGCTGTGGACTATGATGCTGCTCAGACACTCGATATCTGCCAGCAGAGCTTTCACAAGATTGGCATCATCGTTGGATGAACCCAAGGCTGGCACGTGCACACAGTGTCCAGTGCGCACCAGCTTTGCCGGTAGCGGCTTCATCTTCCTGACTCACCAATTGCCCAGGCTAAGGTGCCGTGCAAAAAGCAGTGGGAGGGTGTTGGGCTTTGCGAGTTATGACACACACACTCAGTTGCCGAAGGCAAGCCCAGTATCGGGAAGGCAGGCATCTGAACAGCTGCCTCCAGAGGCGATCTCTGCACCGTTTCCAAAGGTGGAGACCGAACTTTTCGGGCCGTATGGGAATTGTCCCTGCGCTCGTCCAAGCGAAGACCTTGACCCACCAGGAAAAACTGAGAAATAATCAAGCCAAGCAAAGCATCATGAGCATTCTCCCGGCCTTCGGTTCGTGCGACCAAGAATCTCCTGGTTGAGTCGAGTCAACCAATCTTGCAATACTGCTGGTGTCTGTGGCAGGGCCCCATCATGTCTTCTTGCAGCCGAAAGCTTCTGAAGTTTCGGCGGGCCACCGCTGAAGCTACATGCTCGAAGCAGTGAGAAGGCGTCCCACTTCCTTGCCAGGCCTGGTGAACCCGATGGTAAAGGGGGTGGTTTACCGAATGAGGTGTCTGCGCTTATGCATGTGGCGGTTGTTCAAAATTCCTTTTC